AAAAAGAACTCCAAACAAGATACTAAAAGAACAAACTAACAAGAATTTAAATAGAAATCAAAGAATTAGAAAAGTAAGATCTCAAAACAAGATACAAAAACAAGAAATTAACAAGAATTTACCTTTTTTTTTTTCAGCAAACGAGGGCGGGATTTTATTAAATTAAATCAAGTCCACCAAAGCAACTAGGCTTTGGGGGAAAACAGACATACAAATACGTTCAGTCCAATAGGTAGTTTCCCACCGTGCTACACAATGAGCAACTACATTTTCCCCTCGTTTAACATGCTTACAAATAAAGGAATTAAAGTCTAAACTTGCTCTAATGATATCCTCATAGAACAAATAAATCGGGGTAGCACCTTTGTGTTTGCTGTTGACTGCTTGAACAACATTAATTGCATCACACTCTAGTTCCACGTCCCTGTATCCAAGTCTGTTGGCAAACTTCACACCAAAAGCAGCAACACCTGCTTCTGCCAAGTCCGGGGACCAGCATACATCGAGCTTTTTGACTGCAGCTACTAGTAACTCTCCAGCCCGCATCTCTTATAACCACTCCAAAACTCACCCATTTCCAGCCATTACATGGGCATCAACATTCCCTTTTACCATGGAGCAGAAGGGGGAAGCCATCTAGAGTTTGAACTCACACACTACTAGAAATAGGCTGATTTCCGACGGACCGTTTCTGACGGACATGTTTTTCCGTCGGAAATTCAGTAAATTCCGGCGGAATAAATTTCCGTCGGAAATTTCCTACGGAATAAAAATCCGTCTGAATTTATGGGATTTCCGACGGAAATTTAATGTTTCGACGGAAATAAAATCCGTCGGAAACTTCCTACGGATTATTCCGTCGATACATTAAATTTCCGGCGGAAATAAAATCCGTCGAAAATTTTATTTTCCGACGAAAAATATTCCGTCGGAATGTAATTAAATAATAAAAAAAAACCTAACCCTACACAACCCTAAAAAATACCCGGATCCCCCCTTTTATTTCTCGTTTCTCTCTCCTCTCCTCCCCTACGCCTCTTCTTCTTCTCTTTCTCTCTCCTCTCTTCTCCTTCTCCTCTCATTCTCTCTTTCTTCGATCTCCTCCTTCACAGCCACACCATTCCGGCCATGTCATTCTCCTTTTTCGATCTCCTCTTCTTCTTTTCAACGGCGACAACAACAACAACCACACCATTCGGCCACCGCGCAGCGACAACAACGACCCTAGTAGCGTGGAAACCACCGCAACGACAACAACAACACCAGCCCAAGCAGCAACGACAATAACAACTGTAGATCTAGTTTTTTTTTTTTTTTTTAAAAAAAAACAATTCTAATTATAATTAAATTTTTAATATAATTGTAATGTTATTTTATTAATTTCAGAAGATAATTGTATATTTATTTAATTTGTTTGATTTCAATTTTTTTTTGTTTATTTTTTTTCGATTTATGGTTGTTTCGATTTATGGTTGTTTTGAGTTTTGGTTGTTTCAATTTTTAGTTGTTTTGATTTTTGGTAAGGGAATTGGGGCTGGATCTAGGTAGATTTGGCGTTTCCGATTTGGGTTTTATTTTGTTATTTTCTCGTTTTTTCGTATTTTTTTCGTATTTGGGTTAGGTGGTTGGTCAGGGTGGGTGGTTAGGTGGTTGGTTAGGGTAGGTGGGGTAAGTTTGGTTATGGTGGGTGGGGGAAGTTTGTCGGGTTTGGGTTGGGGGGGTGGGGGGTCTGGTCTGGGTTGGGGTTGGTGGTGCTGTGGGTAAGGGGTTGGATGCGTGGGTTAGGTGGTTGGTTAGGATGGGTCTGGGTAAAGAGGTGGGGTGGTTAGGGTGGGTCTGGGTTAGGGTGGTTTGGTTAGGGTGGGTTTGGGTTAAGGCTGAGGTGGTTAGGGTGTGCTTGGGTTATGGTGGGTCTGGGTTAGGGTGGGTGGTTATGCGTGGGTTAGGGTGGGTCTGATGTAGTGGTGGTTGGTGGTCTGAGGTGGTGACACGTCGTGCTGATAGTGGCGCGCCGTGTTTTTTTTTGTTTTTTTTGCAGGACATTCCGACGAAATTTCCGTCGGAATAATCCGGCGGATTTGTATTCCGTCGGAATTTTCCGATGGACTTTCCGGTGGCCGGAATATATTTTCCGATGAATTAATTCCGTCGAAAATTCCGCCGGAAAAAACTGTTTCCGTCAGAATTGATTTTTCCGACAGAATTGGCGATTTTACCTACAAAGGGTGTTTCGACAACCAGTTACGACGGAAATTCCGTCGGAACAGTGTTTTCCGACGGAATTTAGGGTGTTTCCGACGGAATTTTTCCGTCGAAAATGGCCTGTTTTCTAGTAGTGACAGGTAAAGAATTCACCTTCATCTGAACCTTCGAATTGTACGTGGTATAATCCACATACAGCTTCACAAAACCCACAGCCACACTCACTGGATTAGACACCAGCTTACCATTAAAAATAGTCTTGTTTCTGCAGTGCCACGCAGCCCAAGCAAGCGAGCAGAAAAAACGTAGCCTCTCCCATCAACCTTCCCAGCCACCCAAAACCAAGACATAGGAGCTTCATTTAGTAGCTGCATAAACTCACTTTGCTCCCAAACTTTAAGAGCAAAATTACAATGAAAAAGGGAGTGTGTTATTGTCTCATCCCCCCTTCACAGACATTGCAGCACTTCGAAGGCCTGATATGGCGTCTGTACAGGACATCCATCATACCAAGAGCAGTAAATCTCTGTTACTCACTGTGAGAAACGTTTTTTGTTTCTCACAGTGGCAGTTTCGTAAATAAAATGTACCACCGTGACTAAAGTTGTACAATTTTATCATCCATTTCGTAAATAAAATGTACCACTGTGACTAAAGTGGTATATTTTATTTACGAAATTGCCACTGTGAGAAACAAAAACGTTTCTCACAGTGAGTAATGGGGGCGCCCTCCACCAAGAGTTCCCTTGCAAGCTCTCCAAATGAAATGGCTAAGTTTAGGTGGTCCACCAAGCTCCAAAACCTGTTTCCATAGGCTAGTTTCAGAACTGCATAGAACAGCTCCCATGTGCGAAGGTGCCCAAGTCTCCCTAACCAATAACCAGATTTCGCCGAGTACAAACCATCAGACGACGTTGCCACCAAAATCTCTCATCACAGGGCCAACTTATAGATAGGGGGTATTCAATATAGCTCTACAGTCAGCTTCATTAAAATTGTCGTTCAACACATCAACATTCCATCGACCATTGTCAAAATCGATCAAATCACAGACACGCAACTCGGGATAATAGTGGGGTAAAGGTGTAGGTACATAATGTTGACAATCCCTTGCAACCAGGAATTATCTCAGACTCGTATCAAAAATCCATTACCAACACGCCACTTAAGTCCATCAAGAAGGAGGGATTTCGCCCCCCACAAACTTCTCCAACTATAACTCGGATCAAAGCCACAAGAAGCATCTAAAAAATCAGAATTTTTGTAGTAGCGAGCCTTCAAAGTGGACTGCAGTAAGGAGTTACATCCTTCATCAACCACCAACATTGTTTTTGCCAACAACGCTTGATTAAAACACTTGAGGTCTCTAAATCCCATGCCACCCATGACTTCGGTAAACACAAATTTTCCCAACTATGCCAATGCATTTTTCTCTCTGAACCCCTCGAATCGTGCCAAAATAGCAAGCATTTCATCAATAAGTTCATCCGGGATTCTAAAGATACTCATCATTTAAGTGGGAATTGCTTGGGCGACGACTTTAATTAAGATCTCCTTTCCCGGTCTCGATAACAATTTCTCCTTCCATCTTTGCATTTTCTTCCATATTCGATTCTTTCAAACAAGAGAAGACTGCTTCTTTTATCTCCCAATTATAGTTGGAAGCCCAAGTACTTTTCGTGCCTGTCGACTCTCGAACCCCAGGAGCCTCCACAATTGCACTTCTTTGTGCTATCGTAACACATTTACTAAAAGTTACTTATGTCTTGCTTAGATTAACTTTCTAACCGGATGCTCTTTCATACGTACTGATTATATCGGCCACTTTAGAGCATTCTTGCAAGTTTGCTTTTGCAAATATGATACTATCGTCAGCAAAAAATAAATGAGAATCCTCGGGGCCCTTTGCAAATCCGAACACCCCGAATCTGATTCTGCGCTGACGCTTTTGAGAGCAATGTAGAAAAAGCCTCTGCACAAAGAAGGAAAGATATGGAGAATAGGATCCCCTGCCTCAAACACGTGACGGAGTAAGAGAACCCGGTCCGTAAATCATCCCATTATACTTGAAAGAAAAAGAGACACCGGAGAGACAATGCATAATTCTAATAATCCACGGCAAACTAAAGCCAAATTTTGCCATAACTCTCTCCAAGAAGCTCCATTCTACCTGTCATATGCTTTAATCATATCTAATTTTAAAGCAGCAGTACCATCCTGACCTTCACCTCCCGTTTCATGGCATGAAAAATTTCGAAAGCAATTAGTGCGTTATCAGTTATTAGTCTTTTTCGGAACAAACGCACTTTGTTGAATTGAAGTAATTGTTTCAAGCATCGGTTTAAGTTTATTTGCAAGTGTCTTAGAGATGATTTTATATAAGATATACATAAAGTAATAGGACGGAATTTTGACATACTCTTCGAATCATCACATTTCGGAATGAGCACAATATAGGTAGAATTAATATCATTTAAGCACACATCACCACTCCACCAGCTTTTCACAAAACGAATCACATCCCCAACAAGAATTTAGTTAGAATTCAGAGAACTAAAAAAATAAGAGCTCAAAACAAGATACTAAAGAGAGAGAGAAGGAAAAAAGAAAAAAAAAAAAAAAAGAAGAGAGAGAGAGAGAGAAATTTAACAAGAATTTTAGGCAGTATCCTATGAAATATCCAATATCCGCATAAACTGCAAGTAAAATCAGCAAAAAATACAAGGCAGAAAAAACAGAAAATTGAGAGCACCAAACCAGATACTAAAAACAGATAAATGAACATTAATTTTTGGTTTTTGAACAGCTACACATTACATAACAAGTTGCCAATAACCATCTAAAAGCTAACAAACTACTACTAAGTTTGAAAGCTTTAATCTATGTGACAATTTCTCCATTTCCGAAATGTGCAAAATTATGAAGAAAATCACTTATGTTAGTCCATAATTAAAGTACTTACTAGTGGCTATGATAGCACACACATAACCTTCTTAACATAGACAAACTAGTTGAATTAAGCAGAGATCCTAGGAACAGCCTTGCACACCAAAGACGACTTCATTTCCATGGAAAGGTTGAGGCACTCGGTCAAGTCCACACCATTCTCGGTCGGAACCCACCTGAAGTTCTGAAGCATCTGAGCCAACCACAGCTGAGCAGTAGCCATACCCATTGCCTTTCCGGGGCAGACACGACGTCCTGCTCCGAAAGGTGCCAGCCTCAGGTCTGAACCCATGATTGGGACATCCTCTTCCATGAACCTCTCGGGTTTGAACTCGTTGGGGTTAGACCAGATCTTCTCGTCGTGGGTGATGGCGTACATGTTGACCATAGCGGTGGTTCCGGCTGGGACGAAGTGGGGACCGACGTGGGTGTCGTGGATGGAAAGACGAGCCCATGATAGAAGTGGGCCTGGTGGGTGGACTCTCAATGTTTCCTTGAGGATGGCTTGGAGGTATGGTAGGTTGGGGAGGTCTGAGTCGGCGACTTGCCTGTTGACTCCGACTACGCTGTCGATTTCAGCTTGGGCCTTGGCTTGAATGTCGGGGTGCACCACCATCCTTGCTAGAGTCCACTCTAGTAGGATTGCAACTGTGTCTGTTCCCCTGAATATCATTTCCTGCATTTAAAAACCAAACATTATTTAACGTTTTGTAGCACTCATAATTAACATTTACTCATAGTACATTAGCTTTGGTCTTTAATCTTTACAAGTTGTGTGAAATAATGTAAAGTATACACGTCTAAACCAATAAGCATAAAAAGGTACATATCAAAGAACCCACTAACTAGATGCCCTAATATTAACCCATTCTAAGAAAAAAGCATACTTTGTACATAAATACCAAATATATTTTGGCAATAATAAAGACACAAGTTACTTGTATAGCATGTACTCCATCTGTCCCTATTTTGTCCCATTTGACTATGCACGGTCTCAACACTTGTTTTAAAACGTCTATATATATTTATTTTCATATACGTAAAAATTATAAAAACGTGATATTATTAAAATATACTATGAGACGAATATAACTAGAATTATCTCTTAGATTAATGGTAATTTAAGGTCAAAGTTTCCAAAATTTGACCCAAAAATAGCCATGGAGTAAAAATTAAGGGGTAGAGGGAGTATGCAATATGAACCAACACCCAACAATATGGCACATATAGTATACCATTTCTAACATTACAAACTAAATTTAGAACAAAAAAATAAAACATATCATGAACAACACACGTAACATGAACAAAAAAATAGAAAGAAATCATACCCAAAGAAGAGCAATCATGTCAGAGTCAGAGAGCTTGTTCTCTCCATCTTCCAAGTCCAAAAGAACATCAACGAAATCCTTTGAATCATCATCAACCTTCTCACTCCTCAATGCCCTGTGCTCTTCAATCACATTACCAACATACTTGTTTACCTTACCAACAAGATTCTTGCACCTTCTCCTTACTCCTTGTAAATCCAACCACCTTAGAGGGGCAAAATGGTCTCCCCAGTTGAATATTCCCAACAATTCATAACCTTCCTTAACCAATTCTTCAAGGTTATCAGCTTCCTCGGTCCTCTTACCGAAGAAATCGTAACTCTTTCCGAACACACTCATCATGACATTGTTCAATGATCCGAAATGCAACACATTTTTGATCTCAACATTTCCCTCATTTCCCATAATAGTAGTGATTTGGTTCACCATTTGATTACCAATTTCTTGGCGGAATCCTCCGAAGTTGGAAATTCTTCTCGGGCTGAAAAGATGGGTTGCGGAAATCCTTCGGAGGTTCCTCCAGTAATCACCGAAGGGTGCAAACCCCATAGCCCTGTTAAAGAGAAGCTCATAGGCTGACTCCTTAATAGGACGATCAGCGAATTCGGAGCTGTTTAAAATCTCTTTAGCAGTCTCGGGTTCACTCGCTATAACAAAGCGA